AGGAGAAAGATTTTATTTTCCTTCTTTTCTTTCCTGGTATAAGCTACTAACCTTTTTAGGTAACTCAACATCCCAATTTCTACAAACTTTATTTTTTTTTACACCTGACAATATCATCCACTGTGGTAGTCATCAAAAATAGGATATAAACACAAGATATTACTGATGCAGGACAACAACTTGATTACCAAGGAAATACCAAGTCTCTGTAAAGAGGTAACATTTAACATCACCTTTTAATCAGAACCACAAAGTTTCTCAATAATGGAATACTCAAGGCCATTGAAGTGATTTCTATCCCACCCAATACGAACTTATTTCAGTAGGATGAATAAGTTCATCTTTGTGTCCTATAAATAGCTGGTTCTTAAACAACTTGGAAACATCAAAGATTTTTAAAAAGCAAAAACAGTTTACAACTAAGAAGGATAAAAAGTACGGAAAGAAGAAGTGAGGGAGGAAAATGTCTGCAAATGGTTAGCGTAGATAATATAGGATTGAGATGATTATAGAATTCATAGTTTCAAAATATCTACATAAAATTATTAATGCAAGTTTAAAGATATGCTTGATAAATTATGCAACATTATTCCTACATTAAACTAACTACAAAATTATAATGCCTTTTATTCATATTCCTACACTAGAACCCCCAGCCCACAAGTCAGTTGATGATTATAATCAAAATGTTTAATTCTAAAGAAAGTTATAATATTAATGTTTCTTAAGAATTAATGAATATTGTAGGGTTAGAGGGAGAAACTGAGATAAATCTAGTTTAAATCTAATATTAAAAAATGACATAAGCATTCATTTAGTAAAAAGGTTTACTTTGGAGTTAACAGAAGAACTAACATTTTGAAACCAGCTAAAAACAAAGCAGAACAAATCCTTTTCTGGTAGAAATTCACAACTGCCTATCAGCAATTATAAAAACAATAACACTGACCTTGAATCAGCCTTAAAGGTCACTGTACACAATTATTATTATTATTATCAGCTTTATGAATTTTCAGTTGCAATCTCAGCCATAAATTCAACAAATTCAGAGTTGGCAAATAATAGGAGGATGGCTCTTTAGCAGCTTTCACTGGAAAAGGCTTTTGAGAAAGTACACATTTTACCAGCATTTGCCATGTTACAAATGACAGCTCTTTCAAATCCTGCTCAGCACACCTTAGATGAAGATTTATGATATCTCAAGCAAACAACAATAAAATTCAAAATCAAATTCAGTCAAAACTAGAAATGATTTAAGTAAATCATATCTGCAGTCTTGGGAAATCAGCAGTAAACTAAAAGTATTTTATACCTGGAATATTTTTTATTCAATGCAACTCTTGAAACATTTTTTTAAAATCATTTTGAGTATATAATTTCACTTCCCGCACTCTATCTCAAATGTAACAGCCAACACAGTGGAGAAACCCAATGAAAAAAGATCCCTTGCATATAGTTATTATAACTAACAGATCCAAAATCTACTGCTGACAGTCAGGTACCATAACAGCCTTGCATTGCTGAAAACTGCTGGGAAATTCTTCAAAACCAGCACGAGTCTGCTTTAGGGAAATCTTGGACAACACCGAGGACATGACTGGTAGTCATCTTCTGTGGGTGTTGTATGGGCACAGCCACAAAGAACCCTGCCATCTCTACAAAAAGGAATACACACAGAGAAGATGGGAGGATCACGGAAGGTAAATTCATAAAGAGATCGAAAAGAACACATACGCCTGCAGCATAGAATAGGCACGTGATGTTGAGTCCGTGCTTTACGCTAATTCTTTTCTCCGGAAGCTGGAGAATCCAAATTCAACCAGCCTGTAATTGTGACTAAACATGAACCAGGGGGTGGAAATAATATCCTAAAACTCTGCACTTGTACCATCTGATCCCAAGCCTTCATTTGAAACTCAAAGTCAATTATATTTAAAATAATATTTAAACTTCCACTTCTAAACCCTTGACGGCCGTTTATAAATGTGCAGGAGAGAAAAGAACAGGTTACTGGGAACAAGAACCCGATATTGATTTTTGGCAGCGCAGTTAGGCATCTCCATTCTCTTGGGCTGCTGTCAAAGCCACTCTTTAACAGCTGGAGTCAAATTGCACTATTTACAGCAAGAGCCCTTGTCAAGTGGACCATAAGTATCCTAACAATACACTATTCAAATGGCACTTTGCCACACAAATTGCTGACTTGATGAATAACCTAGGTCAATGACTAAGGCCGATATGAAAGTTTCATTTTTACGAGAGGTTTTACATTCCCACATTAAGTGAGCTTTCTTCGGAGAACTGTTAGGCTATATATCGCAGGCCTTTGGATGATGGAAATAATTAAAATCTGTTTAAATACATCAGGGGAACTTGACAACATTAATATGGATCTGGTGTTAACTGCATTTGTCACGCGAGTCAGAGCAGCGCCCTTCTGCTGCTGGCACTTCCCACCGGCACGTGCGGCAGGACGCAGGCCTTCAGCCGCCGCGCACCGTGAAATACGAGCATTCTCCTTTTGTGCCTCTGATTTACGTCCAACGAATGTTTAGATACAAGCCGGCCTTTGAAGTCCTGTGAGGACATCCAGGGTTGCTTCTGTGTGCAAGGGGACAGCTGGAGTCACTGAATGGTGCGTTTCCTACTCTTCCTAGCCACGCTGAGACCTCCTAAATCAGTTTGGAAACAAAGCTGAGATAGGCTTTTCACAGTGTTTCTCACCCTAGAGGCAATTTTGTACCAAAAAATACTTAAACCCATACCACAAAGTGAGAAGAGGGACATTCTTCATTAAGCAGATGTTTAAAAAAAAAAAAGTATTATTAAAAAGTTTTATTTAACTTCATGATACTTAAAATACAAATGTAAAATACTTACTTGTGAGAAATGGGTTTCCTCTGTCAAACATGTGTATCGCTTCACATGTGTTCCAAATTGCCTTGTCTATTTCTGCACCTTTGTACTGTACATTTCTCTATTCTATCACTAGGAAGGGTTTATTGTGTAAGTGAAACCTATATATCCAACTCTCATTTTAACATGTGGTGCTAGGCAAATTTCATGTGCTCCAAAGTTATGTATGGTTAACAGCTACTATACTTAAACAGTGACGCTCTGAATAAGCAACAGGGGGAGCCATCAGGGATCCATGCTCTAAAAAATCAGTTTTTTAAACAAACATGCCCAGGACAGGCAGTACAATGGGTCTACATTGTGGCAATTGAAATGATTCAGTTTCTCCTCTTACTCATTTTTCGAACAAGCAATGCAGCTAAAGCATTTAAAATCAACAAGCCAACAGGCAAAGCAGGCCTTCTTTCTTTAAAATATAATGAAGCTATAAAGATTTCTGCCTTGTAGAGACGATTTTAGTAGGATTGTTTATTTCTTACTTTGAAGATAATTCCCTCCCAATGCAATTTAAACACAGAATCTGAGAAAAATCAGTTCCCCATCATTAATATATTGTGTTTCTTTAAATGCTTTGAGACCTTGGCCCTCTCCTTCTCCGAAGACTTTTCTTTGGGTAACTGCGCAAATTCAACTTCTCCAGCATTTCAAATTGGACTCATTTTTAAAATGTTTTATTATAGTTTTTGTTCTTTTCAAAACCTTTCCCCAAATCTATGTGCACTCTTCAAATGCAAGAAGAAAATATGAATAGACCACGCTAATAAATTCCAAATATTGCCAAACACAAAGAGCTCACTCGATAGTTCTTACAAGCTATGTGTTCACTTAGACAGTTTACCATTCTAAAATGCTTCATTTGTGTTTTCCTAAAATTCACACTAAAATTTCCTGAAACACAGAGTACCCTTAAAGAGTTCTAAATTTCACAGGAGCATTGCATCTCACTTTTCCCATTTCTAAAATGAGGGTTCTTTATATCTTCTTTTTCAAAAGGGATTTTTTTTTCCTGGTAAAAACTCATTAATCATTTTACTATATTAATAATAAGGAAAATGGAGAGTTTATAAGCACTCTTGAAATTTCACATTTATCAAGTTTATAAATAGGAGTAAGATAAAAAGTCTCAATGGCTCAAATCTAAGAGAATGAAATAAAGAGATGCAGTTCGTAAGTGGAGAAGAACAAACAAAAAATCTCTAGTTAACAGTAAGCTCATTAGAAGCATAGGATATAGAACCAAGGAGGGGATAGCCCTGTCTAATTCAACTCTCTTACCCTATAGACAGCGAAGGCCAAAAACTGTAATCATCTAAAGGTAAAGCACTAAAAAGTAAAGTGCAAATCAGCGTTAGGGTAAGAAAACAAGACCCTGGCATTTTATTGCTTCCTAGTGTTAAGAAAGAAACAAAATTATATAAAGAAAATAATATATATATACTATTGTCACCGTCAAAAGGGTAGCTCTGAGATCCTTTAAGAAACTGAAAGAAATAGTAATGAGTTTACCTTCTGAGCATTAAACCAGTAAAATGGGCACTTCATGAATGAGATTTGCGCCTACAGACCCTAGACATTGGAAAGCTAAAAAGCAGGTGATCCTAGTGATGCTGAATGTATCTGAACAATTGTCCCCACAATGATCCAATTTTTCTGATACATTTTTAGTTTACTTGTAATTAGCATTATAAAAAAGGTAAAATACTCTCAACTAAACAAACAAACAAACAAAAAACAAAAAGCAACCAACCAACCAAACAAACAAAAAAACTTATACCACAGAATGTAGATTTCTTTCCTCTTATCAATGCATAACCATCTATCTAGAGTTCAAGAGTTAATATAAAATTAGCTAAATTTTTATAAGCTACAACCTATTTTTATCAAAAGGAATGCTGCACCAAGAAAAATAATCATTCAAAAAGATATCCAGATTAACAGAGGATCACTTGGTGATATGTCTGGTAGATGCAGATCATATGTGTTCTTGTTTTTGTGCTGATATTTACTCACCACATATTTGTAAGGCATATTAGTTCTTAGTCAGGTTGATGATGTCTATTAGCAGCGGCTTGGTTTGAACGTACCTTACATGAAGACTCCACCTGCAGACCAGGGCAAGGCATTGGCCCAAACTTGTAGGAGCTGGAGGATCTCTGCTCTACACTTTTGTGTTTATGTGTCTCTGAGGCAACTGAAAGTACTGACTCAGGCTTTAGAAACTGTGAATCATCACAATTAAGAATAATTCTTGCTCTTTCTCCTGTCTCATGTCTTTCCAAAGTTCCTAGAAAACAAGATTAGAGATAAAAATGTATGAAAATATGTAAAAATGTATTTGTCCCAAAAGAATGTAAATAAAAAAACACACACTTTGAACAGAAAAATCACAATTCTTTAAGCTTTCTCTAAATTATTCAAATAATGGTCTTACAAAGGCTGAAATTATGGATTTGAAAAGCTTATTTTCCTCTTTGTGCTTTTTCATCCACTGAAATCAACATAGCATTCAATAATCTTTAACAGTAAAATATCTTACTTATTATAGAATAAGTAAGTGATCAATAACAAAAGACAATAGACTATTTTAGGGCTGTTTCTTAGTGTACCAACTCACAAATGACAGAGAATCTGCAGTGCTTTACTTGAGTTACTTAAAAGATCTGTGTTGGTGATATAGTTCAAGTGAGTAGGGCAAACGAGAACTCACATGCTTTATTACTACCTCCCTCACCCAAGTGTTCTTACAGTTTCGGGAATGCAGGCCACTCTAGGGTGTTGTTGTTGGTATTGTTGGTATTGTAGCCATTATAACATTTGACCTTTATTTATTATGTTATTAGAAGAAGAAAAAATTCCTTTGCCCTTTTCTCTGCCATTCTTGCAGTTTCAGAATTTCAAGGTGTTGGCAAGTTTAATTTAAAGTTAAGAGAAACAAATGTAAAACAGGGCAAAACTATCAGGGCAAAACTAACAATTTATAGCCAAAGCTGGTTTGGCTCAGCGGTAGAGCGTTGGTCTGCGGACTGAAGGGTCCGAGGTTCGATTCCAGTCAAGGGCATGTACATTGGTTGCGGGCACATCCCCAGTAGGGGGTGTGCAGGAGGTAGCTGGTCGATGTTTCTCTCTCATCGACGTTTCTAGCTCTCTATCTCTCTCCTTTCTTCTCTGTAAAAAATAATGAAATATATTTAAAAACAAAACTAAAAAGAACAAAACAATTTATAGAGTTTTTATGAAATACAGTGCCATATGCTCAGTGAAATCTCAATATATATGAATTAATTATGATCATTGTCTCATATCAGTTGAGTCGAATTGCATTATTCATACCTTATTAAATATACAACCTATATAATTACAAAATAAAGAAAATTAACTTGACATACAATCTACATACAAATTTTATTTCATCTTATTATTTTCCTACCAATGAGAAAGAAGTAGTTGTACTATTTTGATAAGAAGGAAACAGATCATTCTTACTGATGGTATTAAGAAAATATCAACTTTAAGTAACTGCCATCAGACAATAGAAATAATTATTTTATATCACTATGTCTTTAGACAGATAGATAGATTTGAAGATTATGACTACCTACTCCTCATTTCTCCTCCTGTCTTCTATATTTTCCTTTACAGCAACTAAATTACCATTAGTTGGTGCTCTGGATTCTGAATCAGTAACAATTATTATGCTAAAATATTGGACAAAAATGTAGTCCCTACTCTCTTAGCAAGTTATTTGTTTCATTTTAACTTTCCTACAGTCATAAATTACTATCTTTAACATAAAACATAATCAGCATGCTCTTTCTCCAAGGTTTCCTTTTCCATCAAGATTCATATGTCTTCAACAGATGAATTTGGCAGCAACATCAAGAAAATCCTCTCTCAAGGATGACAATAAGAAGAGTTTCACCAACTAAAGATAATAGTTATTACTATTTCCTGAAAATGAACTTGTAACTGCAACATTTGGTAAAATTCACTGTCTTTATGAGAAATAACCCTTTGAATAATGGTATCACCATGGATATTTTCTCCTTACAGGTTTTCTGTGGTTTTTCAAACTATCATTTTTTAAAAAAGATTTTAAGAGATCTTGGGAAATAATTTATTATACTGTAATAGGTAGGAAATGCACCTTATATAATCTTCTATAATCTTATATATTATTCTATACATAATTCTTGCACAAACACAACTATTTCTTGTACTTCTTACATTTTTTAGTGACAAAATAGGTAGTTTGCTTACAAACTTTGGCAATACTAATACATTTTCACGTACAGATAACCAGCTTAGCATCTGCTATGTGCCACTCCCCACTGCCAAATACTGGCAACATATAGCAAATGAGAACGATCAATCCTGCTCCCCCTGGACCTTACTTAAAATGTAATGGTAGTTCAGCCCTGGCCCAGTGGCTCAATCAGTGAAAGCATTAATCCATACACACACACACACACACACACACACACACACACAAATAAATAAATAAATAAATAAATAAATAAATAAATAAATAAATAAGTAAGTAAAGGCTGCAGGTTTCAGTTAGGAGAGTGGTCGGCAAACTCATTAGTCAACAGAGCCAAATATCAATAGTACAATGATTGAAATTTCTTTTGAGAGCTGAAAACCGACTTCTGTGCATGGGCCATGAAGTTTCAATCCCACTTTCTGGAAGAGCCACACTCAAGGGGCCAAAGAGCCACATGTAGCTCGTGAGCCGTAGTTTGCTGGCCATTGGGTTAGGGCATATAGTTAGACTGGGTTCTGATCCCCATCGGGGCATGTAGGGGAGGCCGTTTTTCTCACTCTCTCTAAAAAAATCAATGAAAACATCTTCATCTGAGGATTTTTAAAGAAAAGCTAATGGTAGTTCAAAAGCACCTGAAAATGGATTTGCTATATTTATAGTAAGACAAAAGCTATTTTCACTACAAACTAATTTATTCTAATATAATATTGGACACGTGGCTTTTTGAACAATAGTTTCCAACATGATTCATTGTAAAACACTAGAAAAATAATTAGATTATTTTGTTTCAAAGTACTGGCTGTGACACAAATGTGACTTAGAGTGAGTCAATTTATTTAAAAGTTATTTATCAGACAAATATGTAAGTTACATATTAAAAACAAGTTGACTTTCTAATAATTTCAGGCCAACAGCTTGAAAGCCCTTAGTCAAACCCTGAGAGCGAATAGGTAAAGATTCCCAGGTGTGCCGGTTATTGGTTTATTAATTTATTCTCTTTTTAGTTCCAAATCCACCCTTCATTGCCTGCTCTGGAAAATAGGTATGGCCCCTTTAAATATTTTTCTTTTAACTGCTGTTGCAACGTTAACCTGTGAGGATAAAAGGTGCTGGAAAGGCCTGTTAGGAGAAAGGACTATTTCTTCTCAGTTCCATGTTCTAGTGTGGCGTGGGGGACTTCACAGCACCTGCCTCCTGCAGGGCACGGCAGCCAGCAGCACCCAGCAGACAGCAGCTTCTCGGAGACACTCAGGATGGTTTTGTAACAGAGTGCCTCCAGAGAGATATTTCTGGCCACACCAAACATAACACCCCACATCACAGCGGCTTCTTTACATCCTGACCACAGCTATGTGCTCTCCTACAAGGTCAGACCTTAGTGCCGGGGTAACCTGTGCCTTGGGCAGCTTATCCCAGCTCTAGGGAGAGTGGTTGCTCCTTAATCTGTTATTCCTCTGCCCTTGGTTCTTATTAACCAGCCCCTGATAGTCTTTGTGACTATTAATAATTCTTTATGTTAAATTTCCTCTGTTCAAAATACTGCGTCATTCCTCTTTCCTGATTAGACCCTGATTAATACTATATACCATAGTAAATCATTTCCCATGCAGAATGTTCCATTAAATATATCCTTAAAACTATGGAGTTACACAACTTCAGAGATACAGTTAAATAGAGAGGCAGTAGTAAAACACAGTAACCTAGGAGGAAGGGCATGACCCCAAGGAGGGCCAAGGACGGCCTGACAACTCCAGTCCAAAGAGTCAGAATAGCCCCTGTTCCTGATATTGAAGAAATAACAAAACCCGAAGGGTAACACAACTACTTAGTTCCATTTCCAATTTAAGGAGGCCCTTTGCTTTCCAAAGTGCATGAATGATAATTAGATCTTTCTTCCTTTTTGTACTGTGCTATGTCAAGATGATGAGTTAACTCACACTCTCCATTTGGATCGATCTGAGCATGGTAAGCAAAGATGCAGAGACATATTTGAGTTAAATATTATTGAAAGTGGCAATTGCATTTCCACCCTCAAAGTAAATGTTGTACAAAAAAAAAAAAAAAAATACCACAAAATCTATCCCAAGTAAACTCTTCATTGTATGAGATGTATTCCAGTAAATATCTTGCATTTTCTATTATTTTATTAATTTGAGTTTTGATATAATCTGTTTTGTCCTAAACTATGTAATAGTACATTAGAGGATGTTATAAATCTAGAAGAAAGGGAAGTTTAGAACGATCGCATCCTAATAGAAAGTGAAGTGAAGGAAGGAGGGCACTAGCGAGCATCCAAAGCAGCTTTCACGGATGCAACACCGCCTATCCCTCCAAAGCCAGACACAGAAACATAATAAGCAGCTGAGATCCTGGTTGCAGGCCCCTGTGGATGACAGTTTCCTCTGCCTATCCTGCTTTCGTCACCAACCCAACACAGCCCAGAGAATACGTAATCTCAATGTTTAAACCAGCACTTTCTCTACGACCCCCTTTGCCAGCCTGTACCAAGCAGATGCCCTGCCCTGCCCACCTGCCAAGGCTGACAGCCAAGACATCACTGTGAGGTGGGTAAGAGCAGACTCCGCACCAGCCCGCCCTGCACTCCAATCCTGGTTTTACCCTTCCCTGTCCTGTGGCCCTGGGCCAAGCAGTTTATATTTCTGTGCCTCCCTTTCCTCAGCTGGGCAGTGGGGAGGAGACTTCTTATGTCATAGGGTTACAATGAGGATGAAACTGAGCAGATATTTGAAAAGGTTCCTGAGGTTGGACACACAGTGAGTGCTGTGCTCTGCAGCAGCCCTCGGACACAGCCCCTGGGAGTGAGCAGTTTAACAAACCTCTTTGGCTTCTGTGGCTTTGAGAGGTCTGAGACCTGGGCCCTGTGTGGACCCCCACCCCCCGTCTCCTACCTGAGAGTCTAACCTCCTCAGTAAAAATCTGGATAGGATTATAAATTTGACTTATTTTTTAATTCTCCTCAGTGAACCCGACTGAAGTTTGCCATATATTAAAGGCTAGAT